CACACGACATGTGGCAATTTTAACATTTTTAACTTCCAATGTTTAGCTGAAACGCCAAACGTAACGCAGCCGTCAGAAAAGTGTCATAATTACATCGCAAATTATTTCACAAAACTGGCAAAAACTGAGTGAGTCTGCTGCTAATTTGTAGTCGTAGAAAAAATAGCGTAAAAAACAAGTTCGAAAACTTCTTTGTACACTCGTTCGACTTGTGGCTCTTGCCTGCGGCTCGAGCCAACAAACTGTCGAACTCGTGTGCAAAACGTCGTTTTCGAAACTCGTTGTTTAATAAACTATTTTATAACAATTAAAATATGGATTGTTGTTTCTAAAATTATGATCATTTTGTGTCATTTCTGAAATTTTTATTAGAGTTATATTTTGACTTGTCTATTTCAATGCTTATCTGACTTCTTTGTCAATACACTAAAAAAGCTTAAAATACTAATGGCAAATTAGTGTATTATGTAAATATATATAAGTAAAGTTTTGTTTTAATATTAAAAGTTCTAAAAATCCCATTTTTTAAGTATTAAGAAACTATTTTTCGTTTTTTATATTTTAACATCTAAATTGCTATCAATAAAGCGTGCTTATGAAATGAAGTGAATATTACAGAAGTAAGAACAATAGAAAATTACAATTTGGAGCAGATCGGCAATTAGTTTCGTTACCTTCACATCTGGACACTACACAAGCCGTTTGCAATAAATGATATTAATTATTAGTAGTGAATTTTGGGAAACGAGTCTCAACTAGTAATTTAAGCGATACCGATGTGCCAATTTTAACATTTTTAACCTCCAATGTTTAGCTGAAACGCCAAACGCACCGCAACTGTCAGAAAAGTGTCATCATTACATCGCAAATTATTTCACAAAACTGGCAAAAACTGAGTTAGTCTGCTGCTAATTTGTAGTCGTAGAAAAAATAGCGTAAAAAACTCATTCGAAAACTTCTTTGTACACTCGTTCGACTTGTCAATAAACTGTCGAACTCGTGTGCAAAATGTCGTTTTCGAAACTCGTTGTTTAATATACTATTAAGTCCAAAAGTTGATCTCTACCATGATCAATTAAAGCAGCAACAGTGACATTGCAAAAACAATAAACACTATTTATAAGTGTGTTGATGAAGACCCAAAATCAATGCTAAAACGGCTGTAATCGTTACTGTCTTATTAAAATGCGAATATTGTCGCGACCTAGCTGGGGGTTGTTTGCTAGGGTCGCTATACCAGGTTCTCTCTCTCAATCAAAACAACCATTGAACAAAATGTGCATTTATTTAATATAAAGTTCACAGTATAATACAATTTTGGGGAATGCCAAGACTTAATGGTTTAGTTAACTAAGTACTTACAGGAACATCTTCAGTCTGCGCTGTCTTCTACTAACGGACTGATAACGCGAATTACTGACTGTATAATACGACTCACATCGATGGACTAACTAACTACCCTGTCTTCAGCACACTATTTTATATTTTTCCGCTCGTCCCAATTATCGGCGGGTACGTGCTCAAAAATCTCCTTTGTATATTTCCAGCACCGATATTTAGTACGAGCTAGCCCTGAAATATCACGCTTACATCGACCTGATTTTAATTGTTTAATTAACAATGTTTATTATAAGAACATATTCAGGTCGACGTATACGCGAACGATTCCCTTGAATCCACATCAAATTGGTTTACTAAATTATATTTTACATGATTTTTCCCAATTTGATGTAAACCCAAGTTGGCCTATATTTAAGTCTTGACATATCCCCCGGGCTTGGAGAGCTGGTCCCCAGCGATAAAAAAAAGCATGTGCTATTAAGCTTAATTAAGATTTTCTTGCGACTCATCAAAATAAAAAAAAAATATATATATTTTTATCATTTACTCTTTAATCCCGTACAAACAAAAGGTCCTACGCGATACCACCCGTACTGAAAATATGTCTCCTGGCATCCTGGTGCGTTGCGTCCGTTTCAACAATACCATAAGCTTCAAGCTTTAACCCTAGCTCATATCAGTTAAGTAATGCACACGCCAGCCTTTGCCTTTGTTTGACTGGTTGCCTTCTTATTCATTGTATACTTCTGTTCGTCCGTGCGCTTGGTTTCAATGTCAAACGGGTGACGGCCTTTTGAAATTACTGGGATCAGCGGAATACTGGACAATTATTTTTCCAAACAAAAATAAAGCTATTGAGATGAATAAAAAACAAACTATCGAGAAAATACGCACCTATACTAAAAAGTCAAATGATGTAGCCACCAATTGCTTAAAAAATCATCAAAATCGGCTTACTAGAACAAAATACACTAAACTTTAAAGTACATCAAAATTTTAGGGTGTTCGTTTTTCGTGCCGGTGAGTGTATACAGGGTGGTCCGAATTGTATTCCGGAAACTTCGGCAGCATATTCTGCAGATTAAAATAAGTAAAAAAGTTCGTATAAATGTATGTCCTAAAATGTTTAGTTTCGGAGATACAGGGTGTAGAAATTTCATTTTTATTTCGAGATTTTTTCCAAATAATTTAAGAAGTAACGTCAATATTTGTATGAAAATTGGTGTCTGGGAGTTTTTGGACATGAGAAATTTGATTTTCATGTCAATATGACTCCTACTTGTAGAGAGTGCCACCTACATATTCTTTAACTGGCTTGAAGAGTAATAACTTTTCATCCAGACTTGTATAAAACTACTGAGTAAAAAAATATACATTTACAGCTTTTTTTACATAAAAAAGGTCTCTTGATTAAAATCGCTACGCGTAACGGTTCTCGAGATATTTGAAATTGAAATTATCAATACCTGTCATCATTGACAAATTAAACATGTTGACCAAATAGTTATTAGACTGAAATCTTAAATTTGAAATCTTTTTGTGGCAAAAGTTCAACAAAAACTGTTTAATCATCATTTTTTGCCAGAAAAATTTATGATTAATTTAAAAAAATAAAAATTTATTATTTCAGTCAAATAACTCTATTCAACGTGTGCTTATTTTTTTGTCAATAATGACATGTATTGACAATTTCCATTTTAAATATCTTCAGGACGGTTGCTCGTAGCGTTTTTGACCAAGAGACATTTTTTACGTAAAAAGTTATGGAAATATATTTTTTTAGTCAGTAGTTTTATACAGGTACCGTCGAAAAGTTATTACTCTTCAAAACAGCCAAAACGCATGTAGGTGGCGCCCCCTACAAATAGGAGTCATTTTGACATCAAAATCAAATTTCTCGTGTCACAAAACTCCCTAACACCAATTTTCATCCAAATATTGACGTTACTTCAGAAATTATTTAGAAAAAATCGAAATAAAAATGAAACTTCTACACCCTGTATCTCCGAAACTAAGTATTTTAGGACATACATTTATACGAACTTTTTTACATTTTTTTATCTGCAGAATATGCTGCCGAAGTTTCCGGAATACAGTTCGGACCACCCTGTATATTATAAACATTTCCCATTCATACAATAATAAATATCCATATTAAAAATAAATTATTTTCATCAGCGGGTGTCCTATTTTCTATGTCACTTAGTATATCTTTTATATAACACAGATACCAAAATAATAAAATAATCCAAATTGTTACGAACTTGTATAAAATTGCAGCTGATTGCTACTTTTTATGAGTTCGTTGCAAACTTGTAAAAAGATTACTACAACATTAAATTAAGCAATTATAGTAGTGGAGTAATTGAAGCTTGCCTAAATTAATATTTTCTAAATTGCAAACTGGTCAATTAAAACTGAGGATTACTACGAAAATTCATTATAATACTGGAACTTGGATTTATAAAATAATTGACAATTTCGCAAGTTTTCCCAAAATTACGTGGACTAATAAAATGGTGAGACGTTTAATTAGTTTATCTTCTAGATTTGTTTTTGCAATGCGGTCTATTTACATATAATAAGTTTCAATTATATCAAAATAAGACAAAGTAAACCAAGTCTTATAAAATCGTATAAATTTATGTATGTTAAAAAAGAAAAATACAAGCCAACATTAGGTTAAGACTACTATTACGCTGTACTATTCGGGTCGCTCTCAGGGGTCTGGTAAAGGGGGTGTGTGGCCGAAGGAAATATAACATATTATATTTCAGGAAATCTGCCTAAGGCTTAGCCCGATCCTGTCGTGTTAAGCCACACCCAAAATTCCAAACACACGTGCTTTGATTAAGGCTTTATTAAGGTTTGCAGAGATTCAGCATTTGTCATAAAATAGCGAGCAATTTGTTACAAAACCATATAAATTATATATCACTGTAATCACAAAACTTCAATCTATTTCTGTATTGTAACGGAATTTTAAATTATGTCTTTATTTTCGACAAAATTTAGTCCAAACATAAGGAATATTTTGTTGATGTTTGACCATCAAAAGCTTAAAAATAAAGAAGTTGAATAAAAATGTGCTACAATACGGATATAGTATAATCCTGTATCTGTAATTTCCTTCTTCATTTGTGTAAAAATACCTAGCCAGTTTGACATAAAACGTTAAATGCCGAACGCTTATTTTGCTACTTTTTCGGACTAGTGAAATGGACTCTTAAAAGCATTTTTATTTCCACGTATCATGAAACACATCTTTACAAAATTAAAAAAAAACTAAAAACTTTTAGTTTTAATCATCTGCTGATATGGTTAGCGAAACGCGCGTTCAGTGCAAAAGTAAAGTGTTTTGGTGTATTGTGGTGAATTAGTATTTTATTTTGCCAGTACTACACACACCATCAGTACTGATAATGTCTCCACCAGTATTTACAGTACTCGTAGTATCCAAAATACAAGCGAATAAAAAATACTCAATAATTTAAAAACATAAATTTTGTCCAAATAGTATGAAATAAATCATTGTACGTCATTTTACCGGAATTAAGTTTTACAATATTCGTTTTTGTGTTTCTAAAATCTTATAAACATCTCACTCATACTGTTTCAAATTGATTTACCGGACTTAAATATCTATTAAGTGCAGTTACCTGTAAGATTTCTCATCTGTCTTCTCGGTAGATAAAATAACAAGCTGATTGGTTTTCGTTTTGACATATTTTTGAACGTACGGAAGATCGCCTTCGTCTGTTTGCCACGTGACGTCAGGTGTGGGAACCGAATCTATGGGTGGCAAATCCAAAATGGCCGCTTCTCCTTCCTTTACGGTTATCGATGTTTCCGAATCGCCTCCAAATACATCCATATCTAAAAAGAAACATTTTATACAACAAACGTATCAAATAACTATTAAACAGTATTTTTTGGTTATAAGTTTATGTACAAGCTTTAGTACTGGGTATTGATTACAAAAAAACACTGTAATGTTCTTACAAATACAAATCGAAATCTTTGAATGTGGTAGACAATGTTTCAGCAAATAATTTCGAACTTCCATTTTCTTTATTTTTTTTTCATTAATGTTTCGGTCAGAAGTATCGCAGACAAGTGTAAACCTTGAACACCCAGACCATTGCGCACAGGCCACTTTTTTGCTCAATGTTATTTTCAACAAAAAAAATTACAATTTTTTGAATTTAAAAGATTGGCCTGGTTCAATTTATCTGGGGGAGCCTTGGCTTCCTGCCAGAATTAAACCAATTTCAAATCTTCAAATAACTATTAAACAGTATTTTTTTGACATACACTGTAACTGGAAGAATAATGTAAAGAATACCATAAAATGCTCTTGAAAAAGTGTTACATACCGGGTGCTTTTCAAAAGTGGCTCTCCCCTACAATTTTTTTTTATTTTTTAAGATAAAAACAATTGAGATTTGGTATGTTAGTATATGATATAAATTAGGATTGATTGACGTACCCAGCGAGCAAAATTTTGTCACATTTAGGGAACATTAGGGAACAGATATGTATCTGCGTTTTATTGCTTCATATCAGGCACAAGAAGGGCCTGGTAACGTAACAACGATGTCACCTAGAACACATTTCCCTTAAAGGAATAAAATGCTCACTGGGTATTCAATTCTTTTCGGTCACTTCCTGTTTCACCGGAAATGACTACAACTTTTGATTTTTAAATGGCACCCTCGGTATTTTTTTTCTTTATTCGATAGAAAATGACACTCTGAATAGACACATATCATATATCAACTTTTGACATTTTCGCATATTTATGGTTTATTTGAAATTGTGACATGCAGTTCATAATGACAATAATTTGAGTCGAAATACCAAGTGTGTGGTACAAATTATTCGTAAAAAAATGCTTTTTCCAAATATGCTAACGAACCACGTTCCATTTGAAAAAATTGAGACAGGATCGGCCAAGACCATTTTCCAAGGCTCTTTGATTAAAAATTAGTGTTTTTAATACAGTCATGGCGTTCTAGATTAAAATTTAAAATATGATGTTTTTTTAAGCAAATAATATGTGAAAAGTTGACATATTATACAATATGTGCCATTTTCTATCGAGTAAAAAAATACCGAGGGTTTAAAAATCAAAAGTTGTAGTAATTTCCGGTGAAACAGGAAGTGACCGAAAAGAAAATACGTCAATCAATCCAAATTTGTGTCATATACTAATATACCAATCTCGTTTTTTATCTGAAAAAATAAAAAGTTATAGGGGTGAGTAACTTTTGAGATGCACCCGGTATAACTTTAAAACTGGGTTAAAGATAAAAAGACAAACAAAAAAATGGAAAAAGAGCAATTTTTACCATCGTAGACTTAACTTTTTAATTTTTAAAGTTCTGTTTTACTGGTGAAATACCCACGTCTCTTTTCAAGAAATAGTACCATACGATCGAGAAAAAAAACAATAGCCATCATAGACGACTAGGAAATGAAGATCACTGTCAATTTGTATGCAAAATTATACGACGAATGTCATCGATCGTCATTTCCAAGCCAACTGGACGCCGATTTTTTGGATCATACGCTATCACTTTTATCTAATTTCGATAATATCCTGCTTTGAGTAAAAATTAAAATGCTCACGTTAGTTATAATACTACAGGAAAATGTTCAGTTTTCCATATACAGCTCATAACATGCAGAACTTAAAGAGTAAAATAGAAAATTTACAGCGCGTTTATTTGACAGTTACTACTTCAGAAATAATACTTGTCGTATAATGAAATACAAAATTCCTAAGCGACCTAAGTAACGTCAATATTTGGATGAAAATCGGTGTCTAGGAGTTTTTCCACAGAAATTTGATTTTAATGTCAATATGGTTTTTACTTGCAGAGGGCGTCACCTACATATTTTTTAACTGGTTTGAAAACTAATAACTTTTCGTCCGTATCTGTATAAAACTATTGAGTAAAAAATATACATTTACGACGTATTTTATGTAAAAAATGTTTCTTGGTGAAAATCGCTACGAGTATGGTTCTTGAGATATTTGGAATAGAAATTATCAATACCTGTCATCATTGACAAAAATTAAACATGTTGAATAAATAGTTATTAAACTGAAATCATAAATTTGAAATGTTTTTTGCCAAAAGTTCAACAGAAACTCATAATTTCTTCTTTAAAAAATTGTGATTAATTAAAAAAAATAAAAAGTTTCCAAATTTATCATATCAGTCAAATAGTTATCTACTCAACATGTTTATTTTTTGACAATGATGGCATGTATTGATAATCTCTATTCTAAATATCTTGAGAACGGTTAGTCGTAGGAATTTTTACCAAGAGACCTTTTTACATAAAAAATGGCGAAAATGTATATTTTTTCACCCAGTAGTTTTATACAGGTACAAAAGAAAAGTTATTACCCTCCAAATCAATGTAAAATAAAAAGAGTGTGGCTGTAAAATAGTAATAATTTTGTAATCATCCTTCTATGGTGTTATCAGAAAAATTAAAAACTATTGAAGAAGGACCTCCAAAGAATATTTTGAATACTAATACTAAATTAAAATCGTGTATTTCTCATTTTAGTGAAAATGTGTATAAAAGTGAACACTGGTTATGTGGTTGTAAGGCACTCAATAAACTTTTTTTTGTTGATCTTGCCTACTAATTTTATCTATCAGATGCGTTCACAACTTTGTTTTTTTTTACCTAAACTTAGTTCTTTTTTTTTAAATCGGTTTGATTATTTTATAACTTAAATTAAACACTTTAATATAAAAAAGAAAATACTTTTATTGTGCTGTTACAATGTTAATTGCAGTTACTTTATTACATCCCCTTGTATTGAGGCCACGCCGAGCTACGCCACTGTTTAACTCTTATGTATCACAAAAAATACTCACCAATTTCAGTTAATATTTCCAATTTCAATTTCCAATACCTAATTCTAAATATTTATTGAAAAATAAATCTTTCATTTTACGAATTATTGTAGTTTGCCAATATTGAACAAAGTTTATTGCCCATTAAAATGACCGATTCTGAAGCAAATTAAATAAAAAAAAATATTTTAACAAGACTAAAATGAACTAGCTAATAAAAAGGCATTGAATTTATGTGTGCCGCTATATTCATATTTTCTTGTAGTTCTTGAAAAATAAGGCTTAATTGCGACCATGTTATAATACATTAATATTTCGCACAAATAATAAAAGGACTATAAAACTAAAGAATTTTAATAGAATAAGTCGCTTAGGAATTTTGTATTTCATTATACGACAAGTATTATTTCTGAAGTAGTAACTGTCAAATAAACGCGCTGTAAATTTTCTATTTTACTCTTTAAGTTCTGCATGTTATGAGCTGTATATGGAAAACTGAACATTTTCCTGTAGTATTATAACTAACGTGAGCATTTTAATTTTTACTCAAAGCATCGAAATTAGATAAAAGTGACAGTAGCGTAACTTCAAGTGTGAGGCCCCCCCGCAAGATTTTTTTGGGGCCCTTATATTAAAATAATAAAAAACACACTAAAAACATAATATAGCTTTATGTAGGTATATCAAATCTTTAAAATATAAAAACAAAAAATAAACTTATTCCACGTAAGAAAAACAATAATAAAGGAACATAAAAAATAAAACATTACAAAATAAATCAACATAAAACAAAACTTAGGTACTAAAAGAAAACTAAATAATAAAAATAAATAGACTTTTTCTAATAAAAATATGATTCAAATTAAAATAAATTAATAGGAGCAAATAAAATGTAAAAAAAGAACAAATAAAAATTGAGAAAAGGATTGAAAATAAGGTAAAAAGTTTAAACATTTTTTTGCTTTAAAATTGACACAAAGGCGTTAATCAAATCTTTAACGTTCATTTTTTTGGCTTCTTCAGCCTCAATAGCTAGCAATCCCAATGCATTTAGCCGAGAGTGAGTCATGCTTGTGCGCAAAAAACTTTTTATAAGTCTCAGTTTTGAAAAAGAACGTCCGACGTATATTCGTTCACATATGCATGTATTTAGTAAATAAAATTGGTGGCCCCTGCGGGGCCCCCAAAATCACGAGGCCCCCCCGCCGATGCGGGTGCTGCGGGGCCTACGCTACGCTACTGAAAAGTGATAGCGTATGATCCAAAAAATCGGCGTCCAGTTGGCTTGGAAATGACGATCGATGACATTCGTCGTATAATTTTGCATACAAATTGACAGTGATCTTCATTTCCTAGTCGTCTATGATGGCTATTGTTTTTTTTCTCGATCGTATGGTACTATTTCTTGAAAAAAGACGTGGGTATTTCACCAGTAAAAGAGAACTTTAAAAATTAAAAAAGCTAAGTCTACGATGGTAAAAATTGCTCTCAATATTTGGATGAAAATTGGTGTCTGGGAGTTTTTTAACATGAGAAATTTGATTTTGATGTCAATATGACTCCTACTAATAGATGGCGCCACCTGCGTGTGTTTTAACTGTTTTGAAGCGTAATAAATTTTTGTCCGTACCTGTATAAAACTACCGAGCGAAAAAATATACATTTCTGTGATTTTTTTTGTAAAAAATATCTCTTTGTAAAAATCGCTACGAGCAACCGTTCTTAAGATATTTAGAATGGAAATAGTAAATACATGTCATTATTGACGAAAAATAAACACGTTGAGTAGATAGTTATTTTACTGAAATAATAAATTTGGGAAATTTTTATTCTTTTAAATTAATCATAAATTTTTCTACAAAAAATGATGATAAAACAGTTTCTGTTGAACATTTGGCACAAAAACATTTTTGAATTTATGATTTGACTCTAATAACTATTTAGTCAACATGTTTAATTTATGTCAATGATGGTAGGTATTGATAATTTCTATTCCAAATATCTCGAAAATCATTACTCGTAGCGGTTTTTACCAAGGGACTTTTTCCACGTAAAAAACGTCGTAAATCTATATTTTTTACTCAGTAGTTTTATACAGGTACAGACGAAAAGTTATTACTCTTCAAACCAGTTAAAAAATATGTAGGTGGCGCCCCCTACTAGTAGGAGTAATATTGACATCAAAATCAAATTTCTCATGTCAAAAAACTCCTAGACACCAATTTTCACCCAAATATTGATGTTACTTCAGAAATTATTTGAAAAAAATCGAAATAAAAATGAAACTTCTACACCCTGTATCTCCGAAACTAAGCATTTTACTTATATTATATTTTTTTACTTATTTTTATCTGCAGAATATGTTGCCGAAGTTTCCGGAATACAGTTCGGACCACCCTGTATATAACAATATAGACTTTGCTGTAAGGGCTTTTGTTTTTACGGATATTTGCATATTAAACAGTTTTGCCGTGGTATGTATATGATGCATAATAACAATCAAAATGTCATTAAAAGTACATGGTTAAATGCGCGTGACCTCGTAACAAAAACTGAACGACCGAATTTTGAGTTAACTCGTTTAATTGAATCGAAAGAAAAAAGTTATGACAAGAAGTAGTAATCACGCAAAGTCCCATATTTTATGGCCGAATTTTAAAAGCAACGCAACAAACATTAAATGACTTGCCTAATAAATTTACCGGCCGCATGCAACGTCGATTTGGACCTTTTTTAGTCCTTTTATTACTATTTTTATATTATAAAAGCTTAGGCCGTTTAATAAATAAATATTAAAAAACTTTTTTATATTATAAACTAGGTAGCACCATAGGTAGTAGATTAAATTTACAAGAAAGAAAAGCCAGAAAAGATCCAGTGGTTCTCAAAATTTAAGCAAAAAAACATTTTTTTTGGAAATCTTTAAGGTAAATTGTGTGTCCATAACGAGAATAATCTAACCCAACCTAACCTAACCAAATTATTCGTAAAAACTCTCGTTATATTTGAAACAATTTAGATATGATTAAAAATACGATTTGTGCATCTTTTAACCGGTTAGGACAAGACACGAAAAACATTAGATGATCAAATATATTTTTCCAAGGCTCCTTGATTAAAAATCAGTGATTTTAATATAATTAATTAATGTCAAAAGTCGACGTATGATATGCCATTCTATTCAGAGAGTAATTTTCTATCGATTAAAGTAAAAAAATACCGAGTGTCGTTTAAAAATCAAAAGTTGTAGTAATTTCCGGTGAAACAGGAAGTGGCCAAAAACAATTGAATACGTTAATCAATTTTAATTTATGTCATATACTAACATACCAAATCTAGTTTTTTTATTTGAAAAAATAAAAAGTTATCGGGGTGAATTACTTTTGAGAAACATCCGGTATATTAATTTCTTAATGTACTATCAATATCGATTACGCCATGGTAAAATAAGAAATGTATTAATAAACAATCAAATCAAACCCTAAACAATAGCTCCACATAACTGAATGAAGATAAGTTGCTTGAAACAAAACGCGCGTTTGGAAGCTAACATTAATTTTCAATTACGCCGAAATAAAATTAGTTGCCTCCAATTAGCTCCAACTTACATGCAACGATGATTCTGATTTCCTCGCTGATAATCGAGCCGATCTTGTTAGAGGCGATGCATCGATAACTGCCTCCATCTTCGTGCTTCGCCGAGATGATTTTGTAAAATGGATCCGTGGAAAATTCGGTTATCGGGACGCCGTCTTTCAGCCATCTGAACTGGGGTGGCGGATTTCCTGAAAAAGAAAGTAAAATGTTAATAATATAATTGAAGAATTGGGAATCTATTATTGGAACTACAATTTCCAACGGTGAATAGGGTAAAACAAGACAAACTCGATATTGCTTTGTTAGATAAATAATGAACAAGTACTATTTTTTAGAGATGAACAAAACTGCGATTGCGATTTTAATTTTTTTTTCCATAGCTACTGTTAAAATTGCCTTATATCTATCAAAAATAGTAGATAAAATAGTACCTTAACCGAAAGGGTAGATTAAATGATACTTTAACAGCGAGGATAGGTTAAAAGCTTTATTTCTTCTCGCACGTTTTTTAATTGCTTCCATTTTTGAAAATTTTTGTATTCCATTTCATAAGTTATTCGGGATTTAAATGGAAGTAGTTTGGATATGGCGTTTGTAGTCTCAGCCTGAATATCTGTTGGTAATTTACTTATTTCGTTTTGCATTAATCAAAATCAAAAGTTGTAGTCATTTCCGGTGAAACAGGAAGTGGTCAAAAACAATTGAATACGTCACTCAATCCTATCTTATAATCCTAACTCATATACTAACACACAGAATCTCGTTTTTTATCAGAAAAACTAAAAAAGTTATAGGGGTGAACCACTCTTGAGAAAAACTCTGTATATTATGATCGTGGCTCTGGAAAAATAATAACTTCTCTACAGGATGTTTCAAAAAACATGTGCCATCTCTCGTGGGGACGTTCCTCAAGTAAAAATAAGATTTATTTTTCATATCAACGTAGGTCCGATTCTGCTTTGTTTCGTAGCTACAGGGTGTTAAATTCTTAATATTGTCAAGGTGTATTACTGGTTGCATAACCGCAACGTGCATTGAGGAACCTGGTGAGTTCGCCAGAAAGTAAAAGAAAATTACAGAATTCTTTAGAAAATTCCAGAAACCATCGCCAGGGGGTATATAAGGCCCGCGCTTTGACAGTTGGACCAGTCTGAAGATAGTCTGAAGTCTGAAGTTTCATAATACCGCGAAATACCGTTAGAGTAATAGTAGTTGCATAAATTGTGTTGTAAATAGTATAAGTTGTGTGTACAGAGTGAGACAAATAAATTCGTTAAGTATTTTATCGTGAGTTTAAATAGTGGACCCACGGAATCCGTAAGAATTGGTGTCGGAAGTGCGATTTAAGTGGATTTTAAAGATTTTACACCGAATTTAGCTGTAAAAAAAGCATGTACGCAATTGACGTTTCTCTCTTGTTAGCGAAATAGTGTAAGCAGTTTAATGCCGATCAAAAGTTTGCTCTTGCTTTATTGTCGCTTTCGGCCTCCTTGATGAGATAAACGCAATTTTATTAATTTGCCTTGATCCAAGTCTAATAGCAACCTTTAAAAAAATTTAATATCATTAACTTGCGAAAGTTTTAAATACTCATTGATATCTCATCAAAAAATATGAAAAAAAGTTCCTATAAAATGGGTATGGAAATGCATAGTTTTTGTAATTAAATACCATTATTTTTTTATTTGAAGTTTTTTTGAATTTTAGGTTGGACTAATAGTAATAATAACTAATTACTAATAGTAATAATTAGTGATGAGCCAAACCGTGATTTTCTTTTCACAGGCTTACCTGTGACAGCGACTTTGTATTATCTGTGACTCTTAACTGTGACTGCGGCTTTATGATTATGAATCCGAAAGCACAATCACGGCTAAAATATAAGATACGATACGAATGATACGATTCTGTTGTTGTTGTTATACTAATTTTTATTTATCTAAGGCCTTTATCCAAGGCCGCTGAAATAGAAGACACTAAACAGTGGGTAACAGGTATATTAAAAAATAAAAATAAAACAATTTTTTTATTAAAAGAAACCAACGGGAAAAGAATAAAATATGCAATATGCTCATAACCATAACTAACGAAACTTAAATGTGTTAACAACACGAGATAAGTAATAGATTAAACAACAAATATTTTCCTTTGTATTAAAATAAACGAAATATATAAAAAATGAAGTTTCTAAAAAAAATAAACAGTATAAAGTAAAAATGTTTGGCTTTAAAAAAACCTGCTAAACTAAAAAGAAACCAAACCGATTCGTAGTGATAAAAAATAGTAATAAAATATAAAATACATAAAAAATTAAATCACTTCTAACAGTCACTGTTTTTAGATCACTTTGTCAGATATCTATCCTATGAGACGTACGTCGTGACTCGTGACTGTGAACTGAGTCACGACCGGCGCCATCGGCAGCTGCGTTCGCGACGCGCGACGTCCCGCTCTGAGAAGTATTTTCTCGTCACCAGAGAAATCACAATTAACTGTAATCGTCACGCTTTAGCAAGTCACCGTTTATTAAATCAGTCACAGGCCGTGACTGTGATTATAGAATATCAGTGACAAAGTCACAGTTACCGATATTTCACTCATCACTAGTAATAATATTTAATAATAAATTAGGTAAAATATATAATTTAATTTTTATTTTAATTTTATTAATTGAGATTAATAAAAGTGCGTTTATCTAATCAAGGAGGCTAGGAATTCGACAAAATATCAAGAGATAACTTTTAATTGGCATTAAACGGCCTACACAATTTTGATATCAAAAGAAAAAAGTCAGTGGCGCACATGTTTTTTTTAATAATCCAGTGATAACTCATATTCACGTCCTTGATGAATTTATCGACACTTTTTTATCATTTAAATATGTAGCACTTAAAGTAACTTTTACCCTCAAAATTTCATTCGAATCACTAAAATTACTTGGAAGAAAATTATAATAAATCGAAAGAATATTAAGACTAACATCCTGTAGCTACGAAACAAAGCAGAATCGGACCTACGTTGATACGAAAAATAAACCTTATTTTTACGTGAAGAATCTCCCCAATGTTTTTTGAAATACCCTGTATATATTTTTTAAGCCATCAGAAATTGAGTATTGGAATTGCTGATACTTTTTTAGTAAAGACGATTAAACCGCACTTAGTTAAACGAAAGATTATAACTTGATCTTGGATTTCTTCTTTGTACAAATATTAAATATAAATGTATAATAAAACAACTAACGGTGGAGTAAAAACTTCGCCGTGTATATTCGACCGTTTCTGTGTATCTTAAGTAATAAATAATGTATAACAAAATGAAGTTGCTTCTTCGATAAACACATAAATAATATATTTTCCTGCGCAGTTGCAAAATCTAAATATTTACTTTTTGAACTTACAACTATTAGGTACAAGTATCTCAAACGTCTTTCGGATGTTCAATATTATATTTCAGTCTATTTTAATTTACAAAGTAAATAGAGACACATACATAAAATTAGATAGACACACAAATGAATATAACTTAATATATCATTTATTAAAAGGTATTTAACCTTTAACAAATAAAAATGTGAGATCCAAAGAAAACGATTCTAGGTATTTCGCTACTGATAGAGAAACCTAAAAAATAAAAAATATATATTTTTTGTAAACACCGAGTAGAATCTAAACGAAAACTAGAATGCCAGTGACTTTTTACTCATAAAACAAATTTATCTAACCTATGTTTAATGTTTCTTCCGGTCGTCAGCAGCAAAACAGAAAAAGAAAATGTTATTTAAAACGTCTAAATATAACTAACTACTCAGAATAACTTTAGTTTGTTAAACCAAAGATGTCTTTTAAAAACTATTGATATTTTGCGTTGTTGTTTAGTTTTTAATAGATGTCTCTGCATTTTAAGGGGTGGTAGATCTAGCCAAAAGAAACGTGATATATTTTCTTTATGAAAATTTGAGAGATTTTCTGAAAATTTAAGGTTTGCTAAAATTTTGAGAACCGCTGGATCTTTTCTGAATTTTCTTTCTTGTAAATTTAATCTACTACCAATGTTTTTTTAATTAAAAACTGAAAAATATTCAAAAACATTTTTTAAAAAATTCCGAATTTTCAAACTTTTTTTTCGTGAAAAAAAAACTCATGGGCGTGTTTATGGGGTTGAACTATACTACCAGTTAAAATATATATATAAACGGGATTTGGTTTAAGTATTTAATACTCATTTCCAACTACAGCCTATTGCTGCCTTCCCGTTACCCTACGCCACACATCTCGATTTAGAGCGTCATCAGCTTCTAGGTTACGAGCTTCCATTGCTTCCGTAACCGTTCCGTTCCAGGATTTTCTAGGTCTACCTACACTTCTTGTTGTTCCCCTAGGTCTCCATAGGATTATTTTTAGGGCCATCGGTCTGGATCCTGTCTTGCCACATGTCCTATCCATTGCCACTTCAGACTTGCCACTCTTTTAACGACATCTATTAATTTTGTTTTTTGACGTATGTGGGTATTCCGTATTTTTTCCCTAATGGTGACTCCCAACATGATTCTTTCCATGGCTCTTTGTGCTACTCGTAGTTGTTGTTCTGCTGTTTTTCAGTAATTGCCATAGTCTCTAAGCCCATACGTAAGCACAGGTAGAATGCAGCTGTCGTAAGTCTTTTCTTTAGGTTCATGGGCACCTTTTTATCCTTGAAAATATCGCTCATATTTCCAAATGCTACCCATGCCAAATGGATCCTGCGTTTGATCTCCGTATTTTGGTTTTCCTTGCCCAGCTTGATTTTATGACCTAAATATATATACAATAATAACGTTGTCCACGGTAATGTTATGGATATTGTTGCTCATTATCTTGGTCTTCTTCAAGTTCATTTTAAGGCCAATTTTCTGGGATTGCTCATTTAGCTCATTTAGCATGGTGTTTAGTTCTTGAATGTCGGTGCTCAACAAGACAATATCGTCTGCAACCTCAGATGGCTAAGGTGTACCCCATCGATGTTTAGACCTCTATTTTCTTCATTCTAATTTCTTGTTGAAGACATTTTCCAGTGCCAGTGTAAATAACTTGGGAGAGATGGTATCTCCTTGTCTCACTTCTGAATGCCGAGTTAGTATTTCTTCTGTTTTGAGGTCATCATCTAATTTAACTTGGACCCAGGTTGCACTATCATAGATATTTTTAAT